GTGGTTGGATGTCGAACTGAATCCTTTATGTCGCTCTCTGGGGTAAACTGTTCTAGTTCCACGTGCCATGTTTTTTTAATGGATGTCAGTTATCAGTTATCTCCTGTTAATTTCCCTCTGAAAGTTCTCCACTGCCTTAACCGGGTATTGAATTTGCATTCTTTGTGTCCTGTCACTGGATCTAACTAACGCCTTTATCTACCTCAGTGAGCGAAATAAAGGGTTCAGTTCGACATTCCAACCACTTGAAGAAGGCCGGGCGTACAACGGCAGAAATTTGTAATAAATATGTCGACAAAGATGAGGCTAATAGTCCGAATAATATATATATATATATATATATATATATATATATATATATATATATATATATAGCGGCCATAATATAAGGAACGGAAACCACAAAGACATAAATATGTGTATTACTTAAAAAGTAATGCATGATTAGCAATGAAATTTTTACCGAATAAAGATTAGGGTGTAATGCATAAATATTATACAAAGTTTCAAAAATTTACATAATATTTTTTTTTAAATAAAGATTAAATGGAACAAATGAAATAAGCTACTGGAGTTAAGGAACGATGTTAATAATTTGCATAAACTTTTAATTTACATTGCTAAAAAACTCGATGGAGCTTTTCAACACTAAGTAAAAGTTCATTTATCATTAAGACAATATTTTAAGCAATATGGCAAATTCTACACGCAAAACGCTCTCTTTTGAAGAAAAAAAAACTCATTATCGCTAACTATCAAGAAAAAAAAGTCAATTTCAGAAATTTCTGATATTGTTCCTAGGTCTAAAAGTGTCGTTCATCGTGTAATTAGCAGGTATAAAACCGATAAAACGTTAGATGCAAAACCAAAACCGGCAGATCTCCAAAAACATCGCAAAGAGAAGATCGAAGAATTGTTAGAATATCTACAAAAAACCGTTTTGAAACTGCTACATCAATTGCCCGTAAATTTAATGAAGAGACAGATAATAAGATCTGAAGGAAAACGGTTGCTCGCAGGTTAAAAAAATGCAGGATTGCATGTCCGTATTCCAGCTTCGAAGCCTCTCATTTCAGAGTGAAACCAAAGGGCACGCCTGGAGTATGCGAGAGAACATGTTGTTTGAACTGACGCACAATGGGATACAGTTCATTTCAGTGATGAGTCCAAGTTCTGAGGGCAAAACTTATGTACGCCGTAGAACAGGTGAAAGACTGTCATCTCAATGTGTTAATAAACCGTTAAGTTTGGTGGCGGCAGTGTGATAGTGTGGGGAATGATTTCATCTGCAGGAGTTGACCATATCATCCGCGTACATGGCAATATCAATGCTGAGATTTACAAAAGGCTTCTTCAGCAGCATGTGGTACCAAGATTATACCATAATCTTTATGAATCTCCTATTTTCATGCAGGACAATGCACCCTGCCACAAGGATCAGAAGGTTATGGCTTTATTTGAAGAAGAACGCGTCTGTTGAGATGTCCCATTTTTCCCTACGGACGTGTGTGTGAGATTCCGGTGAAAGATTGTGAGATTTTCATTTGAGAAGATTTCTTTTATCTGATGGTTTGGCATAATCGTTCGATATACCTGCGTGTATTCAAGTAAGCTTAGAGCATTGCATGCTGTGTATTATCCAGTGCTGTGTTCAAACAACATGAGGATAGCTGGGTACTAAAAAGAGGAAAACGCGGTAAGTCATATTGCTAAGGCATCCTGTGTGTGAAGAGAGAATAAAAGAGGATTAGATTTAGTCACCCTGTTCTTATATACTGTTTTAGTAACGCCATCATTAGCAGAAGTTCTTTAATATACAAGTGGGGTAAATCTACAGCATAGTTTATCGTATATCTATAGATTAATAATAATGTTATTGTGAAAATACCGACTTGCCTAATAATATTTGACAAGATATAATCAATATGAAAGTTTTGTACATCTGATACCTTGACCTTTATCCCCGTGCTTCTCTTTATCCTTTTCCCAAACACTCCTCTTTGCTTTTACTTTCACTCTCTGTAACCCATTGCGTCGGAGTGGCACTCTCGCCTTGCTTGGGGTGATTTGCTTAAAAAAAACCATAGTATTGGACATAGAATGATATTGACCTAATTTGTTTATGTTTTCAAAGAGTAGTAAAATTAATGTATTCACAGCTTTTGTTTATACAAGCAGAGAAGGTTATATGAAAGCAGAGATGTGTTTGACGTCTATGGTAACTGGACAATAATCCAGCGGGCAAAATCTCAGCCTCTTATCCCCAAAGTGGACAAAATTCCAGTTTCCTAAATAAATTGAAAAAGAACTTTCAAGGAAATTTTAATTCAAATTTCAATGTTAAATTGAGCTACTCTTCTCATTAATCCGGATCTTATGGGATACTAGGACTATGAAATATATCGAATAAGGGACCGTAACATTGCTAGGAAACGTTTTTAGAGGTTTGGTCGATTTACTATGAATTTCTGTTGCAAACAGAACGGATCCATGCATTCAGGAAGTAACCAAAAAATATCCTTTTTTGATTCCAGGTTAATTCGGAACAAAAGTAAGATATTATTTAATTAGAAAAGCTTTTAATTGCTTTTATGAATAAGATATATTTTGGAAATTATTGTCTTAGAAAAAAGTTCGATAAATAATGAATTTTTACAAGAATTGTTTTTATTTAAAATAAAATAATTCGAATATTTTATAAAGTTTTAAAGCTTTTAAAATTCGGAATTAATTTGTCAAGTGATATTGTTATTAAGTAAAAACTATATTTACTAATCATAAATGGAAAAGTTTAGTACAATTCAGTGCCCACACCAGTTTTTAAAAAAATTATATTGATTTTCTATGTGTATATGTACATACGCACCAATTTTTGTAAATACGGACTTCCATACAGGATAACATCAGAAAATAAGAGCGATAACTCAAGTAAATTTAAAGCCAAAGTACCTAAAATTCAATAAAATATTAGATTACATAGACTATTTTTCGATTTTTAAGATTACTCAGTAGTTAAAACATATATAAAATGTGTTCACGTTATATTCGTCAAGTAATTTTTACAGTAATGTCACCTGTAGAAAAAAAATTCCACAAATAAGTCTCTCGAGATATTTGTCAACTCCTTATACCACCCCCATGTTAAAAATGGTTTTCTGCGTTATTCTAAACTAAAAACAAATAATATTTGCTTAAAATCAGATTAATTAAACTTCAAATAAGCTAATCTTCCTCAAATAAAGTTTCAGAAAAGTATATTTTATTTTTTTAATAAAGAGAATCACGTTGCGCTGAGAGATTCGTAAATATGGCTAAAATCAGCTATTTTTAGCGATTAAAAGTCATTCGAATTAATTTAAATTCATTTTGAAATACAGCAAATTATTTTACTTATTGGAAATATTAAATTTAATCTATAGTGGGTTAACAGTTATAGTGAAGTGTATGAGTGTTGAAAGAGATTAGTTTGATTTGGCCTTGTTAGTTAGATAGCCCACCATAAAGAGGGTATAAAACAAGAAAATCAAATTGTAAAGTGAAACAAGAAAATTTATATATATATATATATATATATATATATATATATATATATATATATAATCATTTTAGGTCTTTACGAATAAAATTAATGTATTTTGGTTGATACAAGGTCATCAAAATGTTCGTAGTAGTCCTTGTAAGAATGAGTTTATGTGTACGTAGGCAGGAACGTATGTGTGGATGTATGTATGTATGTATGTATGTATGTATGAGCATTATCGAAGGGTAGGAATGTCTTTGAAGGAATCGCTTAGTCTTAAAATGTTCCGTTCGTTTATCAAATATAAAAGAGGTGAGGGAGAAAGGTAGTCATAATAATAACGATCGCTTGACGTGTGTCAAGGGACGTGTTAATACGCTCGTCTCCTTCTCTCTGGTGACAGGCGACCTTAACTTGCCCGTCTTTTATTAATGCTTGTGGGGCTTGAAAAGGTCATTTGGGAATTCACTCCCGGATATGATTTTGGCCTTTCCAGTGGACGACGAACAAACTTCGCGTCGGCTCGCGAAAAGGTTCGTAAAAGAATTTGTTTCTGAGAATAGAAGATTATTTGAATTTTGTTTTTAAATGTTTCCTAGTTTTGTATTGACCGAAAAACATTTCGCATCAAGGTGTGAAATTTCACGAGTTTTGTTTTGGATTCTCTTTTGCGTGTGTGTTAAGCAAAGTTTGTACATTCGAGTCTTTTTAATTTCTAACAAAATCAATGAGTCAGTGCTTAGCATTTGAATTTTAAATCTAGATCTTGTTTTGTTCACTACAAATCTATTAGCTTGCAATTAAACCTACTATAAAAGTTTCAAGAAAGAATTTTTATTTAAAAAAAAATTGATTTTAAATCATAGATATTGCTTTACCTTGCATGTACATCTATTAGAATAATTATTGGAGTAATAAAATAATTCTAAAATCTTCAGATAATATTAGTAAATCCTTATAGCTCGTCAGTCAAGGCGTATTGTTGAAAACAACAAAGATTAAGATATTCGAATAATTCACCGCCTAACGCTACATCTCAGAACGTTATACATTTATTAAAAGCTATTCACTTTTTAATGTACCGACATAAACTTTGATAAGCAAACGCAGTTAATTTCCCACGCTCAAGTAGACATTTTCAAATGTAGTGATATAATAAGTTTCAAACGAAAACTCCTCCTTGTGTTCAATAGAGTAAATATATAAGGGTTTTGTTATTGTTCGGTTGACCAGTACAATTGGATATAAAGGTACACTGTCTTGATCCTTACAAAGAATGAACTGAGAGACGACCGGTCAGCAATTTCGTGAGGTTATCTTTGCTTGGATTAAGAGTCAAAGAATACGTGTGACAGCAGTAAACACAAATAGCGAGCAAAGAGAGAGAGAGAGAGAGAGAGAGAGAGAGAGAGAGAGAGAGAGAGAGAGAGAGTGAACCTGTATCCTTTTGTCTTAATTTCTTTTGTTCTCCTTTTTTGAGCGCTTCATTAATTTTCTTTCTTTTCATTTTTTCTTTCTTTCATTTTCTTTCTTTTATCATTTTTCGTTTTTCTTCGTTCTTTCTTTCTTTTCTTTCTTTTTCTTTTTTCTTTCCTTCTTTTTTCAATTTTCTTTCCTTTTCTTCTTTCTTTTTTTTCAAATTTGTTTGTTTGCTTGTTTCTTTCTTTCTTTCTTTTACACATTCAATTGAATTAAATATGTTCTTTTTCTTTTCATTTTCTCTTTTTTCCTTTTTTCTCTCATTCATTCATTTTTCTTTCTTTCTTTTTCAATTTTCTTTCTCTTTCTTCCTTCTTTCTTTCGTTCATTCATTTTTCTTTCTTTCTTTCTTTTCATTTTTCTTTCTTTTTTCTTTCGTACTTTCTTTTTTCTTTCCTTCTTTTTGTTTCACTTTCAATTGAATTAAAAATGTTCTTTTTTTCTGTCACGGTCGCCATTTTTTTTATAAGTATAAAATATGGGTGAGGTAATTAGGAATGTTGAGATAATTGCTTTTTCTTAGTTTTAAAATATATATGGATTCTTAAATAGCGAATCTGCATTGATTTTATATGCATGTACTGATATTTTTTTTGAAAAATGAAAATTTGTAAATATCTTATGCGGCTTATTATACTAGGTTTGGTTGGTAAGTTAATAGACTGTTTTATTCTGGTACACTTGCTTATATTTTAGCGTACCAATTGGCGTGTCTACTTAAAGTTATATCTTGGTCAGCATAAGAACATTTCAGCCGACCCTCGTATATGTTGGTGCTGAAAAGTTTATTACACGAAATGCTGCTGAAAACCAATTTCCAGTATCTGACCAAATGACCAAGCACCTGTGTAACCCTGCATTCATCGATCGGGCAACTTTTCATCATACCCCGCATATGGTATGAACTATTCTGATGCTGTAACACCCCTTTCATATATAGTGGACTATTCTTGTGTCGTAGTAGAAATAGGGTTTTTTGCTAAAGCTGACAAACAAAAAAAATATAATTATTCAGTAGGGATCCAGGTAGGGATTATTATTTGTTTAGTTTTTACATTCAGTTTAATACTAGCATTATTATTTTTTTTTCTTAGCAAAGTTGATGTATTTTGTTGAATATTTTCCCTTAACTGAACGCCATTCAAATGAGTAATCTAATGCTGAATTAAATAAATACTTTTGTTTTCCTTGACACTGTAATACGTGGAACGCGTGGGGACATTCAATTTTAACTATTTTGTCCTAATTTTAAAGCTTAAAAATCTATTTAATATATAAAACAGATAACAGAATTATCTATGTTAGGGATCCAGATATTTTTAATGTGATTTACACAATTTAATTCGATTGCCTCGTTTACACCGTTCACTTTGTTGGGATAATTTTATTTTCTTTTCCTCAATTAGTACGCACTAGTCATGAGACCCGTGGCGCTGTTTTGTATGGAGACACAGTGTTTTGGTAGGCGCCGCTGAGAGGAGTGCATTCTTGACATATGTGTAGATGCAGCCTTTTGCAAAACGACGTGCCGGGCTTATTAGTAAAAACAACCTTTTGAACATCCACTAATTTTCCATTTCAGTGTGGGAGAGAAGATATTTCTACAGTTTGAACGTTTCCTGAAAAAAACAAAAAAAAAACAGCTTAATTTATTTTCTTCCCATGAAGAAAATAAATTAAGCTGTTTTTTTTTTCGTTTTCCTTTCGTCATATGCTCAAGAGCAGTTGTGATTGTTCAACATCCACAGGAGCCAACCTGTGGTTTATAATGTAACTATTCTGAGCGGACCTAATGGGCACGTGGCCGAGTGATTAGGACGTTCACGTTTAGACCATGAGTTCGAATCTAACCATAGTCGATTTGTCAGGAAGGAAACTTCCTGTTGTTATCGAACTAGAGGGGTCGATCCCAGCGTACGGCACCTTTGGAAAGTGCCTGGAAACCATACCACAGGTTGACCCAAATCTCGTGAGCGAAATTGGGTAGACGGAACCCTTGAGGCCTCGATAGCCACAAGTCACAAGTCATCGTGGCCGAGGGTTTGAGCGTGCTAACCTTGTTCAAATTGTTGATCACGCTAGATAGCACACTCTTTCCCAGAAACTTTAACTATGGTCTGCTCAGCATAGGTGCAGTATAAACCACAGGTGGACTCTGCGGGTGTTGAATAAACACAAATGCGCCTGAGCAAACGTCTGCAATAGAGATTTGGTAGCCTCCCTAGTACACGGGTATCCTAGAATACGAGGGGCCAGCTATACTTATTCTGAGCGGACCTTATTTCCAGTTTCCCAGGAAAGATCACATAATTTGGCATGTTAGCAGTTTGAACAAGGCCAGTACAAACAAACCTTCGGTCACGAATGCAGACATAGGGCAACAAATGTCCGTGAGATTAATGAATCCGGAAGTAGTAAACAAGCAGAAGAGAATACTATCTTCATTCCAGAATAGTTATTGCAGTTGTATATCTTTTAATTTTTAGTAACAAATATTAAAGATGTTGTCTATCTATATATACTCTATTTCCTATATTCTCATATGTTACAAGTGGTAAGACGCACCCTATAATTAGGTATTTTTTGAAAAAAAAACTCATTAAGGATTTAATAGTTTACCGTACTAACAAGTCTAAGTCACCGACTCTATGATGCCACTTTTCTTTATGCCATAAATTATTATGACATTTCAGACTTATTATAAAATACCTTTGATTATTATTATTAGGTTGGTGCGAAAATAATGACGTAATAATGTCGTTTTTTGACGTTAAAAAATACGTCAAAAAACGACATTATTACGTCATTATTTTTGCACCAACCTAATAATTAGATCTTCAATAGTTTAGCAGAATCTTATACCTATTTACATCAGAAGCAACACGTGGTTTCTCTCACAAGCCATTAAGTGTCTCAACACACGGAGTGTTTACATCCAAATCCCCGCTGATGTTTCAGGGCAGTCTTCCAGAGCTCAAAACGGTCTGTTGCTTTTGCATGGTCACTACCACAGATTACTGTATATCTTATCGATTATTTCTATTATTACAGAAGTTTTCGTTTGTGGAGATACTGTGGAGATATGAACTAAGTACTTATAGTAACGGTAGGAAGTGGACTAAGTTATCATCAATGCACAAAAAGAAAAATTAAATATAGTATGATACTAACGTCCGAATAATGTAAATAATGCAAGTAATCATGATACCTCATCTCAGAGATATAGACAGATCCTGAAGAAGGCTGGGGTGTACAACGGTCGAAACGTTGTGAATATGGCAATGAAAATGAGGATAATAGTCTGAATAATGTAAATAATGTAAGTAATCATAATTCCTCATCTCAGAGATATAGACAGATCCTAAAGAAGGCCGAAACCTATAACGGCCGAAACGTTGTGAATATGGTAATGAAGATGAGGATAACAGTCGGAATAATGTAAATGATGTAAGTGATCATAATACCTCATCTCAGAGATATAGATTGTTCCAGAGGAAGGCCGGGGCGTACAACGGCCGAAACGTTGTGAATATGGCAATAAAGATGGAGGATAACAGTCGGAATAATGTAAATAATGCAAGTCATCATGATACGTCATCTCAGAGATATAGACATACTTTCGGATAATTTCGGAAGCCTAACGTGTTTTTGTTCAATATTTGTCTATATCTCTCAGATGAGGTATTATGCTTACTTGTATTTGCATTATTCGGACTGCTATCTTCATCTTCATTGCCATATTTACAACGTTTTGGCCGTTATAGGTTCCAGCTTTCTTCAGGTGATTGGAATTTCGAACCGAACCATTTATTTCGTCCAGAAGTTGGGATTTGTGAAGATACCGTAAGGTGTGCCCAAATGAACGAAGTACTTATAGTAACGGTATGAAGTGGACTACTGGTTATCATCAATACACGAAAAGAAAAAATATATATGGTATGATACTAACGTTCGAATGATGTAAATAATGTAAGTTATCCGAAAGTATTTTATACTATTTTAATATACATTAGTTTTCCATAAATAAGCAATGCTAACAGTTTCTAAATATTTCTTATTTACCATATTTCCAGCATGCTAAAACGCTACAAGTGGCAAGATACATTCTATAATAAGCTAGACATTTTTGAAAAAAATATTTGATGATTTAATAGCATACCGTAATAGCCAGTGCAGGTCGCCGACACTACGATGGCATTTGCCTTTCTGTCACAAGAAATTATCACATTTTCGACCTATTATTAAATATCTCATTATTAATTAAATTTTAAATAGTTTAGTACAATGTTACATCTATTTACATCAGAAACAATTCGGACTTGCCATCACAAGCCACTAAGTGTCTCAACACACGGTGTGTTTACATCCAACTCCCAGCTGATGCTTCAGGGTTGTGTACAGGAGCGCAAACGGTGTGTTGGTTTTAACATTCTGTTGATTCGTGGAAGGATATCCTCTGCTGAATGACTGTCGATGGTAGTTGGCTTGTCTGCTTGCAGATGGCATCGGTGAGGCACTATTATCATAAACAAACATGGTAGGTGGTAGGTAGTGTAAATTGACAGTGCACTTTGAATTAAAGACAGGACTGTTGAGCTTTGTTTCAATAGCACACAATGCGGTAACAAGACTGGTATTATTAGTGTACATATGGAACGTAACTGTCAGCCTGTTTTATGTGGCCGCAGCTGGGGTTTGGGAAGATACTGTACGGAATGCCTACATGAATAAAAGACTTACTGTACCGGTCAAAAGATGCCTGTTGCTTATCATCAATACTCGAAGAAAAGAATATGCAGGATGCGGCTGGTATCTGCTTGACTTCTTGAATAAATTTGGATGTTCTCACTTTATCAGAACGTGCAGAATGTCTTTTACGTTTTGATACACACATCGGGGAACTGTCAGCGTCTTCTAACTCTTTTCGTATCTTGTGGACAAACGATCTTGCAACTTTGAGGAAACGTGCAATATCCAAATCGCTATGATCAGCATTTAATGTCACAATCATAGCATGCCTTTTCATTTCATTTATTATCATAGGGTTTACCATTCTTGATTTCTGAAAAATAAAAGCATTAGTAGTTAGTGGGAAGCAGTATTAATCTTAAATCTGTATGTCCTCAAATACCAGCCGCATATTGTATGATATGATACTAACGAGATATACTATAATTGTAGGCTTATATTATACTAGCCGAGGTACCCGGCTTGCCCATGTGTACATGGCTGTAATTGTATAACCGCACCACCCTGTATACCCGCCCCTCTCTATCTAGAAATGTCTGCCTGCATCCGCGCTTGAATGCATCATCCGTTGGTATACTAAGCTACTCACCTCATTTTTTACGGCATCTCCTTCGCAAGTGTTTCGTTGTTCTTAATAAAGGAATTCCACCAATAAAACCTTTTCTTTGGTCGC